CGTGTATTTGATGCTGGAGAAGAAGTGTTTCTTGGAACATGCGACAGGCGGGGCGCCGGCGGCGTAGGTGTCCTCATCAACACGCACTCCGTCATGTTAGTCATGAACATCGATTCGTACAAAAGCCTAACCACCCGAATCGCACGTTTGCGATAAAACAAGGGGTGCTCTGACAATCTAGCTCTAACAATCTTCGTTGCCTACGCACCAACATCAAGATAGAAAGGAGAGGAGTTGGAAGCGTTTCATATGGATCTGGAGAGGCTGTACAGAGAAGGTGATATGAACGCCAAGATTGCCCCCAGAAGAACGTCGAGGAGCTCCACTTCGACACTCACGGAATATAAAGGAGTAAACACGGCGAAAGGCTGCGCGTCTTTATGTAGCTCGTAGTTCCAGAAGCTCCCACATTTGCGATGGACTCGGAAGTCAGCTATTGGACAGGTCCATAATGAGAAAGACCACATGATCTTCAATCGAGATTTTGCCTGACTGATATCGCCGTTGTTCCGAAGTTCTACACAGAAGTTTCGTGACCGGGCCATCGTCTCTCCCGCGATAGATTCTGCTTCTCAGCCTGAAGAGAGAGCTGTGAGTTCTAGGAAACGTTTGAAGAAGACCTTCGATACCGTCGACACAGAGGCGGGATTGAAGCCCTGGGCGACCAGGATGCTTCGGGAGTTTTACAACAACTTCACGATCTCGCCATTCTATAAAAGATTTTTCATCAACTGAAGAGAGAGTCTGACAGGACGATACCAATTCGCTCAAACTTTTCAGTTCCGCTCTCGAGAATATCATGCGCCCTATGGAATGAGAAGGCATGGAGTTGAGGTTGACGGCCGCTACCTATATCATCTCCGCTTCGTGCTTATAATACCGAACATCGAGCAGACGGAACGAATACTAGGAGTTTGACAGTGCTTGTGGAAAGATCGGTTAAACTGAACCTAACGAAGACGATATTCATGAAAACGGATTGGTTCCTGATGCTCCTTTCACGCTGAACGGAACGAATATCTCTGGAGCTGCTACGAAATGCTCTAGCTACGTGTATCTAGGTCGGAACGTCAACATGATGAATGATCTAGCTCTGGAGCTGAGCATAAGCAAAATCGTTGCGTGGGGAGCATTTAGGAATACTGAGGGTGAACAAGACAAAAAACATCTGACTCCGCGCTCACCTTTTCAACAGTGCTGTCCTTCCTGCTTTGAATGCTTTGAATTGCACCTCGGAGACTTGAACTTTGCGATAGCACGATGAACATGCTGTTATCGAGATTCAGCGCGCTTAGAAAGAATGGTGCTCGGAATTTCCCTATGCACGTAAGTGCAGAAGGTAATCTGGAGTTCCGAGCTCCGTCATCGAACGAAGGTCAGGGGTGCCGTTGATTACGCCAAGAAATCGAAGATCAGTGATCCGGACATGTTATGTGATATAGTGATGATCCTCGGACCAGGACGGTAACGTAGTGGGTCCCTCGGGACTTCAGGCGATTACCAGGGCAAACACCATCGAGGTGGCCAGACTTCCTCACGTTACTGAACCACACTTTAGCTCGTGAAGGGACGAATGGAGGCATGTTACTGGCGCCCGCTCGAGGAAATTGACGAACAGTGGGGCTACAGGTGATACAGGTGATTACGCTCTGGTCTAGGCCGTTTTCTGGACCGAGAATGGGCTATGTTATATCCCTGAGGCCATGGATTCCTTGAAGTGGAAAAACTCTGAGACCACCTCTAAGCACTATTTGCTGCACATCCCAGTCGCTTGACACTGTGCTCCTTATGTCCTATCGAGAGTTCATTTGTTGCAATTGATGTCTGTTATTGAGAAAGAGTAGAGCTTACTTTTTTCCAGAATTGCAAAGAATATAAGCCTCTGACAATCCTTGTGAACGGAACTTTACAACTTGAAAAGTGGGCGGAAACATTCGACTGCACTGCAAGTTACTGTTTTGTGCATTCATGACTATTTAATTAACTTTTTTATATGGATAAAAGATTTTGATTGCCGATCATTCCTCGCTGCGTCAAGCACTAGACCTAAACTTGTGCAGAGATAACGGTTTCACCGCCTCATATTGACCCTTTCGACCTAAGATTTACATTTTTGTCGTAATCATGCAACGACCCCACTGTAGTGGGACTTCGAGTGGAGAGATTAGTTTTCCTACTGGGACTTCAAATCTTTTTTTCCGTCGATTCTCGAGTCCGTAGGCAAGCTTATTCTTCAACTATGTTTCCTGCGCGGTCAATCCTCAAAATTTAGTTTTGTTTCCTGAAGTATATATATATATATATATATATATATATATATATATATATATATATATATAACTGCTTTCAAGACAAAGCGCTCCAATTGTTAGGAACTGCTACATTGAAATCTGGCTTCCCTAATGAATCTCAATGCGTTGCGCGCCACATTGGGGATGGGTGGGGTTTCGTTTTCATTTCCTTTCCTCGTTTTCATTTCCGAAATATTCCTATAAATAAACAACTTGTGCAATCCAGTAAGTTGTGATGAGCTCACATTAAACACAGGCGATTTTAGGTGTTTGTTCAACGATCGTGATAGATATTACATAGCGACCCCTTGGATTCAACTCCCATCGAATGAAACATTCGAGTGTGACATAATAGAGTCACGATGCCTGCCTTATAAAGGTTTCTTCACAAACGAGCAGTCATTCATTCACATGCAGATTTATGAAAACAGGTAAGCAACCTTTCTGTCCTCGCAGATAAGGACCAGAGTATAAACTTCGGTGTACACGGAGTGTCTGCCACACGGAGTATTCTATATATTAGATTGTTTGGAAAAGATTGCGCGTTGAATTTGCCCATTTATTTCTCTCCTACTATGCGGGTTTTTCTCGAAATGTTTGTCTATTGGAAAGAGGCTTTTATTGCGCAACTTTTGATATCTTTCTGTTTATGTCTTCTTTGTTTTTTATTCGAAGAAAGAAAGTTTAGGAAACGCTTGACCAAAATTCCTTTTGCGAGCTTGCATCTGGTACGACTTTAGGCAAAGCAAATCGACTGCTGAATATCAATGTGCCATATCTGAGTATTCGGCGAAGGAGCGAGTAACGATGGCTCCAGCGTTTCAAGAACGGTAATGAAAGCTTGGAGGACGAAGAACATGGAAGTCATTGTATTGGATCCACACCAAACCACTCGAGAAGTGGCTACACGTTTAGGCTGCTCAAAGCCTTCCATCCATGAGCATTCGCTGACAATTGGCAAGACGAACAGGAGCAGAAAATGGGTGCCGCACCAGCTGAGCGAAGCAAACAAGGCAACACGAGCGGCGGTGGCCGAAATTGTTCTGCACCGCTCTATGAAGAGCGGTTTCTTCAACTCTACTGTTACATCAGATGAGAAATGGATCTGCTTAGATATAAAAGACAGTGGCTAGACGCCGGTGGCGCTCCAAAACTCACTCCAAAACTGGATATGCACGGCAGAAATGTGATGCTTGTGTTTGGTGGAACAGCAAAGGTTTGGTATACTTTGAAGTCCTGGATTCGGGTCAAACAGTTACGACGGACATTTGCAAAGACCAATTGAGCCGCGTGGATCAAGCACTGCGTAGTTAGGGTGTCGAAACGACGTCGACAAATCTCCTCCAGACAACGCTCGTTCACATGTCGCGACAGCCAACTTGGAAAAAAATTGAGGAATTGGGACGGGAAGTACTGCCTCATCCGCCATACGGCCCAGATCTGGCACCATCTGACTACCATCTGTTCCGGTCGATGCAGCACTCCCTGGCCAAGCGAAAGTTCAAAAACCGCGAAAAAGTCCAACTCTGGGTGCCCAACTACTTTGAGTCGCGCTCGGCCGAGTTCTTCAGAAGAGGAATTCATTCTTTGCGTATATGTTGGCAACAAGTCATTGATAGTAATGAAGATTATCTTTTGAATTGATCTTATTCACTTCCGTTTTTNTAATGAAAAATGTTAAGACTCAAACGCTCGTTTCTTTCCGAACAACCTAATAACTCCAGTTACTCGCTCATATGCATGCAGCATATTCGGAGATTTCCTAATGTCGCTGTCCGTTGACCAGACTGTAGTTTATTGTCGACCTTTTCGTTTTATTCTCTGAAGAGTAGGAACGAGGCGTGCCTGGAACCCTCAGAGGGGGGAGGGGTGGTGCAGCCTAAACGATATGATGGAAACAGCGGCGGTGCGCACGAAGGAATGTAAAAGAATGAAGCGAAGCAGCGCAGCCACTTAGGAAGACAGTCGCACGTCACTCGAACTGTATGAAAAAGCTAAAGAAGCAGTACCGAGGCAACTAGTCCGTAACAGCCGCGAATCGATTACCCAGAACCATTTCTCTTCAAGAGAATTCAAGAGAGAGCTTCATGGCTCAATGCTCGACATGAGTTTCGATAGGTTTTATCAGCATAGTGGTGGGATTGGAACTCAAAATAACTGCGTATCAAATACGGTAGGATTTTCGTTCATTATATGGTTCAATCGACAAAGAACTGAGATCCGGATATGTTATGCGCACACAAGTGGGTAGTGTCCTTGTATGAGAAAACTTCCAGAATATTCCAGANTATGAAAAAGCTAAAGAAGCAGTACCGAGGCAACTAGTCCGTAACAGCCGCGAATCGATTACCCAGAACCATTTCTCTTTAAGAGAATTCAAGAGAGAGCTTCATGGCTCAATGCTCGACATGAGTTTCGATAGGTTTTATCAGCATAGTGGTGGGATTAGAACTCAAAATAACTGCGTATCAAATACGTTAGGATTTTCGGTCATGATATGGTTCAATCGACAAGGAACTGAGATCCGGATATGTTATGCGCACACAAGTGGGTAGTGTCCTTGTATGAGAAAACTTCCAGAATATTCCAGAGAATTTCAAACTGCTACGGGACTTACTTTTTGAACGACCCAACAGAGTGTTGGGTAGTTGCCCTGTGATGAAGATGTTTCAGCTCGCAAACTAATTCAGTGGATAGTAGACCGCATGTCTATATTTTGATTCTCGATTCTGTATCATCAGCCATGTCAAAACGGTAAGTAACTTTTCGATTCTCGTCACTCGACAACGTCCCCTCTTAGTTTCCAATATCTTCATGGACAAAAGCCATAAGAATCAAGTGTTTACCTTTTATATCCGTGAACAGCATTCTGAAACATATCGATACACCTAGGTCTTTGTCCAAAGTTCCATGGGAAGTTGAAACACATACCTGGTCACACAAAGCTTCCCGGTGTAGAAGGAAGGTCTGAATTCTCCGTGGGAGACTACTTTAACTGCCGCAAGACCACTACCGCTTCGCGTAAGAGTTCGGGTTGAATCAACGCCATCCGCGCTAACCTCACACAGAGCGTGGAGTTTGGCCCGTTCGAGGATAGAACTGCTCCGGGATCGTCTTTGAGATGCCACTTTTCATACCTTCATGGTCATTGAGATTCATATACGGACCACTCAGAAATGTGCAGAATTGCTCTCAAATACTCAAATTCAATTTCAGTGCTCTGCCAGAAACACTTGCTTATTTGAAAACTGAGCTTCAAGCTGTTCAAATGGAATTTTACAATAAAGTGGCCCATAACAGCAAACCAAACGCCTTTCCATTGTTTTTCGGTTGGTTTATTCGCTTCCAGAAACGAAGCAATGTTAAAACATGTCGTGATAAGTGCTTCAATAGCCAACTTTTCAGGTAAGTCAATAGAAGGTGGAAGTCGCGCATTTTTCGGGCTACCTCCTCTTATACCAGACTGGAATGAAACAGAAATATGCATTGAATATCTGGATAAGTATTCATATGAATTGGAAGAGTATCGGCAAAGCGGCTACAAGGTCAGAGGGGTTCACTTGTATCCAGGAGATTTGTGTGTAGCGCTGGGCTCACTAGGAGCGGAAAAAGCCCCTGACTAGTTGTCTCGCAGCGCCGCATGCCGTAACTCCAGTCACACTATTTTGAACAGTTCTTTCCAGGCTCGATGCACTGCAGAAGAGGTGCAATGGCCCATCCTTCAATGGCTAGCTGCCGAACCACCATTGATTTGTGATTTTGTAGGCTGCTAGTTTTACCCTCCAAGCCATCAAATCATCGATATGTGCAGTGCATCGAGTTGAATTGCCTTCAAGCATTAAAATGCAATATTTAGACCATGGTAGCCCAAGATTGGGATGTTGGTTTTGTTTTTTATAAGAACTGCACGGGATTCAAAAGGGCTGAAGCAGATCACATATGGAGGTAAGTGTAGCTAGCTTACATCGGTTGTTTTTGTGCCCCGGAAATGAATGTGAAGTTTGTACTTTCAAGCATTGAGCGATGCCAATTTCAGGATGCTTTCTTGAATTCGACATCCATTTAGAATCGTAAGGGCGTTTGTATGCCTGTGTAGCCTGTAGAACGAGTTGCGGTGGCCAGCCATTTTACAAATCATGCTTTCATTCTCCCAGACGAGGCTGGTTCGA